ATGGAATTAGCCATGTTGCTGAGCTCAACTCTCCATTTTTGCAGGGCTTCGAAGGAAATATCACAGCGTCAGGATAAGCTGGAAGACTTGCAGCAGAAGCTGTTGGAGTGCGTTTTATCGTCTCGTGTGGTTTCACCTTAAGCTTCCAGTCAACTTTTGCTACATCCAAGTCGAAACGTAAAGCATATTTAGCCAACTATTGCAAAGGCCTAGTTATTTGATGACACGACACTAACATGAAGGCGCTTCCCGATATGGTGGTAAGCCACGCTGCGACGGTTTTTGCCTGTCTCTGTGTGCAGCCGAGAGAACGAAAGCCTTCGTCTATTTGCTGCACAGCAGCAGTAAGCTGACTCAAAAAGAAAAGAAAAAATATGCCGTTGGCCAATCGTATACAGCACATGAACACATACAGCAACAGAGGGCGCGCTTTCCTTTTACATCGCAGGGCGGAAATTGAATTGCAGAAACTGAGAGAAATCCAAAGCGATTTCGAGCTCGAGATCCGCAGGTGATAACCGTTTTAAAAATAAGTGTGGCTGTTTCGAACATCGGAATCTACCTTAAGCACAACATTGCTAAGAGCAATGTACCCGTGATTGCACATGCACCTTTTTCAATGCACAAGCAGCTTCGTGCCCTTTTGCTGTGGTTCGCTTCACAAATGTTCTCTCTTGCTCTATTCTTTTTTAATTCCGATGTCTCAGCCTCAAGCAGACGCTAAAATTGAAGGAAGAGACCATCAAGATGCAAGAGGAACAGGTAATGAAAAGAACGCAGAAGCGTTTGAAGGGCCTGGGATGCTGAGTTTTTAAACTTTGAGGCTAGGAGTCCAAAGCTGCGTTCGTGCTCTTGCGGATTAAGGTGGCTGAAGAAAAATCAAAGGCGAGCAGCTCCGTCCTTCTACAAGGCGAATTGGAAGACTTGCGACAAGATCTTCTCTTGTCCCGCGAGAATGAGAAAAATGTAAGATGGCAACTATGCATCCTCTGACACTACATTGTGCACTTTTCTGAGGAAGTGCAATGCGATGAAATTTGTTTGTTTCTGCATTTTGTAATGTTCCCTTGTAAATTCACCGAGCCACTATACCGCAGTAGCTCCTCAGTGGTAGTCTGGTGTATTATTTCTTTTTCCCCCCCACACAGCTTTTGTATTTGTTGTGCATTCATCTACTCTTCGCTCCAGGTATCTGCACAGCTGCGAGAGCTCCAGCAATCCATGGCTGCCCACCAGCGCATAGCTGAAGAAGCGGCTGAGACGCTGCAACACAAGGAACAAGAAATCTCCGACCTTCAGGCCCACTTCGAGACAGAAATACAGACGCTGAGGCAAAACGTGAGCCATTTGCGAGTGTATGTGTTGTTTCCGCTCTCTCAGGTCAGGTTTCTGCTATCTCTCACGTGATTTTCTTCCCCACAGTTTCGTTTGCTTCTGCCTGTTCTTATCTTCGATTTTTCTCCGCAGAATGGCCTACTTAATGCAGACGTCAATTCGGTGAAGGCTGCAAATGAAAGTAGGTCCATTTCTAGCACTTCTTGCTCACTTGTGGGCCGTGCGCGTGTAGACAAATGCGGACGTAGAGAGTTAGCTCAGCTATGATGTCAAGTAGATGAACAGTTTGCTCAATTTTTCGATTCAAGGTGCAGAAGAATTCGTCTGCCTTGTTATTCACTGCCGCAGGGCTCCAAGAGAAGCTGCGAAGCGTTCAGGAAATGGCAGAAAACATGCGGCAGCGCGACTCGCAGCTTCGCTCTTTTGTCTCCGTGATGGCATCCCACGTGAGAGATAGATCAGAGCCTTTGTATTAATTGCGTGCACGAAGTAGGCTGCATGGTGATTGTACTGGAGGCATTTGTCGATTTTCCTATCAATTGCATGCAAGAGAGTGTCCGTTATCTGCCAGTTTGTGCTTCTTCCTTGTTTCTTCTGCTGTTTTTTGCCCAATTTTCAGTTAGTTGCGTGCGCCGAGATCTTCTCACACAGAGGCCTCTTGGAAGTAGACCGTTCTCGCTGTATAGATTTCAGCTTCATTGAATTTGAGGCCGAAAAGAAAAACGAAAACGAATCGGAAGAAACATGGGCCAGGGTGTGCAGCGCCGTAACGTACGTCTGCAGCTTGAAACTCGGCAAAGTGTGCGAAAAGGTGATTCAAAAGCTACAAGATGAAGCCGACAGAGTGAACGCCAAATTAGAAGAAACACAAGAGCAACTGAAAGATAAAATCAATGAACTCTGCGGCAAGAACGCGTACGCAGGCAGGCCAAAAGGAGTTGACTAAATGAATGAGCCGGAATAAATAAATATTTCTTTATCAGTGGACGTCATACACGCCGTGTCTATTGCTTATCTGCGACTATTCACACTATGACATGTGACTCCTCAAGTGTGAATTTGCCAATGAAAGCTGTGCGTGCAATAGGTCTTGGCCTCCAGTTCATTCCAGCGCGAATAATTTGATGAGGGAAAAATGTGTCAAGTGCCTGAACCGCGCGGTTTATTAGCTTTTTACTATTTTACATAGCTTCATTATTTCCAAAAATTTTGAGTTCTCAATCTGATTCTCAGGTCGCTAGCTAAAGCGCAAGAACTGCAGCTGCAGATTGGAGCTCTTGAGGAGGAGTTTGCGCGCAAGCTTGAGCAGATGAATGAAATAGAAAGGGCAAGTTGCTAATTGTTTCTCATTAACTGACAGGCCATTTCAAACGAAGTATACGCGTATAAGGACCTCGTCAGCAGTGGCCGTGAGGATGCCAATTACAGCGGCCTGTGTAAGCCTCAAACTAATGCATAGTCACACTTCAAATCTGCTTTCTCTTCACTTCTCAGGAAAAAGAATTTGTCAGGTCGAGAACCCAAGAACGCATTGAAGCCCTCGAAACGCAGCTATCCATCGCAAGAATGGTAAAACGCACTTCAAGTATCCTAATTTTTCACTTAGTTACTGAAGTGCTATCTTCGTGTTGCTTATGAGGAAATATTTCAAAAAATACATCTTCGTTGCACCAAGCAATGGACTGGTTATTAGCCCTTGCCTGGCCGAAACGTCTTAGGTGGCTTTCGCTTCCGACGTTCCATTTTCTCGAGCCAGTCAATTTATGACTGGTCTACGGTTCTTGTGTTGCAGACTGTTGCCGAAAACAAGACGGAAATAGCGCATTTGCGCGAGCGAAATTCGAGCTTGCTCCTAGAGTTGAATCGCCAGGAGGAGCGAGCCAATGACCTATCGAACCAAAATGAACGCTTGTCGTTCTTGAAGGACGAAGCTTCAAAAACAATAAAAGAAATGAACACAATGCGCACGCAAAGAGCTCGTGGCCGCGACGGCCCTCATAGCAAAGTGCAGCCTGCCGCTGCTATCCCAAACAGGTGCACCTCTTTAGTCTCCTTGCCTCTTCCGAAGAAACTAGCGAACACAGTAAGTGCAAATGGAACACAAGCCCTCAGCACGAACAAAGTATGCACGACTCCCAGAAGCGCCAACACGCCACGAAGCCTTGCACTTACTCCAAGAGGGTTCGGGAGGGCTGTTTTGAAGTAGAAAATGGTATGCACGTATAGTGTTGCAATCGGAATCGGCTTAAGTTTAAACATCCATGAACGCTTCGATCAGAATATAAATACGGGAATATAAATTTTGGCAAACGGACTAAGCCTTGGCAAACGAACAACTGTTTATGCAAGTATACGCATAGTATATGGGTGCGTTTCATAGGTGCCTTTAAATACCCAGAATCGTATGCCTTGAATAATATGTAGACTTCGGGGCCGCCCCGTCATTTTTTTTAATTAATATCTTGCACAAGCAAATGAATACAGACAAAATGAAGGTTTCCCGTGCAAACAAGCAAAGATACAGCCCCTTCCTCGTCTCACAATGTGCAGCAAATCACCCCTGAAGCTGCTCCTGCTCATGTAATTAAAGCTAATTGAAGATAGTTAGGCAGAGCTAACGAACGCACCACAGCATTCAACGTAAATAGGAAGCCTACTCAGGTCTACCGGAAAAGCGCAAATGTACTTTCGGGATGCATGTGAAGGTACTCTGTACAAGCTGCCACGTGTTTCGCCACTGCCTCCCTTCCTTTAAAGCTGAGGGGGGACCTCGTAAGAAAAAAATTGACTGTTGCGGTGGCTTCAGTTCGACACAATCCGTATTCGGCGTGTAACTAAATGGTCTGATATGACTAAGTTCCGTCTCGACAAAACAAAAAATGGAGATGAAAACGCGCGCAATTCCACCTCAGGCCCTTCGACCTGCACTGTCTACCAGGCTGTTATCTGGCTCTCCTCTTTCCGCTACAGAAAGGGGAAAGAAAAGCACCAAATCTTAAATAAACACATATGTCTACTACCGACTGACACGAACGGACGTCCAGGGCGCCGCAAGCGTGGCTCTCACTCATTAATACTCATATCCTGGCTGCCGCCGCAAGCACATACGTGCATGCTCTGTGACTGTAGAGCTTTGTTTCAAATGGGCAAAGACGTCGTGCGGAAGGCTAGCAAAGACAGACAGCACTACGGTGGGGAATGAGAGAGGTATGAAGGCGCAGCTGGAAGGCTGACCCAACCGCCACAGAATAAAATGATACCCCTGACCGACGTCTGATAACTTACTTGTTCATATTTCAATAAAGAAGACAAAAGGCACATCCCTTATCTTGCATCCCCGATGTCCGTAGGAGCAACAATGCACCGCTTATGTCTGTTATTTCTGAGCCTTGAATTAAACATCCACCAACGAACGAGAAGGCTGACTGCACATCACTCCGTGAATTTCTGGGGCGACTAGCGTCTTATGCGTGAAATGCAATAAACAATTGCTGGTGCGTCCAAATGTTGGTGAAAAGGAGTTGTGAAACTTTGTTCGTTGCCTCAGTTCTAACTTGGGACGTGTAATTCATTTCGTCCGTCTCCGTCCGTCTCGTTTTGCTGAATCGCAGCAGTCTCCCCTCTTTATCTTCTTCCCGTTTTTCCGGCTGCCAAGAAATGAAAATTTACCCCAGCAAAGAATTCAATGCCGATGTCTCGTCCCAATTTGCATTCATCAGCGCCGTCTGAAGCAAAAAAAAAGCACGACAATAACAACTCCAGGTATCCGCAACCCCTGTGCAGTACAGAAGAAGCAAAATAAGTAATGGCGAGCACGAGTAACACGAGCAACAAACAATCAACAAAATAACCGGGACAAGAACCGAAGGGCACAGGGAGGAAAGTAGCAACAACAAAAACTAATGTGCAACATCTCCGAATATGGAGCAAAATATTCAACAAAAATTCAATCAGCCTCTCAGAAAACTTCACGTAACGGAACTGCCCACAATCTAGCCTGAATCCAGATGTACTAAGTCTATTTCTCTCTGCGCGAATTGTCAGTACATCCCTTTATATCACTTCTTTTTGTAAAAGTAAATGTTGAGAACAACCATAGAAGCGGCGTGCATTTGATTCGGTTGGTTTTGGGGTGCCTCTTACACGAGCCGTTTCCTTGTCGAATCCCATGTCCGCCAGCTTCTTGACCTGCATGCAACTTAGCAGCTGATATGTTTACATTTAATGCTTGCTCGTCCATTTCATTTCCTCTTGGCTTTTATAACAGCTTTATTTACGCAGTGGAGTAACCTACCTTATCTTCCTGTGACTCTGTAGAGTTCATGGCGAACGTTTCCGTCCAGTGGCTGCAGCAGAAACCCCAGAAATCAAGCCCTGAACCCTAAACCCTAAATCTTAGCCCTAAGCATCAAAGACCCCAAAAGAGATCCAGATTGCAAACAAAATGTCGGACTCAAGCAGTTTAGACTAGGGGCCTCCCTCCAGCGTTAGTAAGACACCAACTAATCCTGAACCCTGTGCGATCAATCTTCAACCCGTAACAAGTAAAACATGCAGAGAACCTCACCGCGCGGTCTTCTGAAACAGATCTGGATTTTCAATGAGCATTTTGGCGACTTCTGCGTCTTGAGGATCCTGAGAAATAAATACGTCGGGCCTAGAATCTCGGCATTTGGAAGAGTTGGTTCAAACTGTGCGACAAAAGTGGTTAAAAATCAACTAAATCGCTCAGAGCTGCAAATGCTCGGTCCGCTACAACGGCTGCGTGCTCATTGCTGCACAGAATAGCACGTACTTTATTATTCGCTGTACAGCAATTATACTAACCATCATCATAAAAGTGGCAAAGTGGTACAGATATAGTGTGCAACTTACTGTAGGCACGGGGTCCGCAAGCATGGCTTGAATTGAAAGCAAAGCTGTCCTTATGGACAATGCAGGGGACCATTCATGTTTGAGAATATCGAGGCAAATGGCACCTAAAACCAAAAAATAGAAGCGATTCAAAGACTACAATGCCAACTAACTGCTCAGCAACATTAATTAGTGCCGCAGCGCCCTGGGCACTGGGCTGCTGCTGGATATCCAGGAAGTTTGTCTCGTGTCTCTCACCTGTCTGAGACGACACGTTCGGGTGCCAAACCTTCGTCACGAAGTTAATCTGCAGACAGCCACAACCATGGACCAAAAGACCACCTTTGCGTGAACATACAGAAGTGAAGACTGGGGAAAAAATGAATACAAAAACACACCAAAGGAAGGCGGAACGGATGGACCGAAACAGCGCGGCAAACTTATTCCATGCAGAGCCAGTAAAGGTAAAAAATAAAAAAAATGAAGCGCCACAGACTGGCAAACAGCTTCCACCTGATGAACAGGCGGCGATACAACGCGCAAAAGCAGCAACCTGAAAGTCGAAAATGATGAATACGCGTGCCTTGGCGAGAAAATCAGCAGCTAGGACTACAGCAATAAGTTATTGTTAGAACAGTAGGCGCTGAACCGAAGAAACAAGTGAAAGATGAAGTGTACCTTGGGAGGGTTGTATGGGTAGTCGGAGGGAATGTTAATGTCGAGTATGAAGACGCCTCCTTCGTACGGCGTGTCTAACTGCAAGCCAAACATAAAAATTTATTCATTCACGTGCAATTCGAAGTGGATCTAATGACGCATACGAAAGCTCACGTAGTCGGATCGATCGTTACTCACGTCCACAATATAAAGGGAGGACCTACGCCTCAATTAGTACATATACTACCATATACAATGAATCCGTGCAGCCACGAAAACGCTCATTAGCACGCATGCACATAAGGAAACTCCTACACCCAAAGTTGCAGCGAGATGATCATATATGGGTCTGCACAAGAACACCCGCGCTCTCCTGCTTAAGCGTGCACACTAACTTACAGGCCCCTTGATTCGCCCTCTCCAGTGCGATATATCTGTGTCCCATTTCTCTGCATAGACGTCATGCTCGTCGTCATTTGCCTTTCCCTCCCTGTCTTGTTGCAGACCCAGCAGCTCCTGGGATGTGCACGCGAGTGGCAAACGCACGAAAGATGAAGTCAACACTCAGCACAGTCAATTCCCAGTGCACTGTAATCTTTCAAACTCAACACAGAGGCGAGAAAGCATGACACAGTTAGTATACCAATATACACACCCGCGTAACTTAAAATCGTACAGAGAACGCGGATCGGGAGCGGCTCCCGTCGCTACCGTTGCAGCAGTCCTTCGACCACGCTGTTCTTGTGCGGAGATGGCGCTTCATATTTGCTCCAACTGGACACAATTAACTGAATCAAATAACAATCCAGCGTGCGTTGCCGTTCACGTTTCCGCAGCAGCGAGTACCCACCTTTTCGAGTCTCGCATGTTCCCTAGGTTTTGCCATCCTTAGGTTTGTAGTAATTTATCCTTTTAAATTAATTTTAACTCTATGTTGTGGCGCGTACACAGGAAGCGCTTCGTCTGGCCGACGGCGGCGGCTCCCGTACAACGGAAGCGGGCAGAAACAGAGGGTAGGACTGCTGCGGCGGGTTTGTTGACTAGAAAGAAAGACGCAGCACGCAGACAGACATAAGTGAACAGGCTGGGTATTTACAATAATGCCGAAAACAAATGCACACGGAAGAACCAACAAGAACAACTTGCATGTGTTGTGGCGCGACCAACCTAAACAGGCTTCTCGCCAAGCTCACCAAGGGCCCTCTACTTCCCCTCGCTCCATGGCTTAAGTAATTCAACTTTTTACTGAATTTCTGCCGTATAATTACATGTTCATTTCTTCAAATACCAGCTGCCTCTCTGTTCATGAGTATGAACAACGGCCAGCACCAGCTTCGGGCTCTCCAGTTTAGCCACAGTACGTACCCGAATCTTACAACACGTTTTACCCTCAGCTTCTTCAATTTTACAGCATTTTGCTGCTTTTTTTCAAAGCCGATTGCATAGTAATCGGCAGTCGCTACTTTATTTGCGGGGGGACGGAAAGCACAGCTCAGTCAACGCTGCAGTGCCCCGAAGCCACACTACAATAGTATTCCGCTGAAGAATGCGGAATTGGGAAGATGGGAAGCAAAGGGTGGCCCTTGGCAAGTTCTCATGAGTCAAGGGTGATTTGAACTGCAAATCTGTCTGAGTCACTTCTGTGAACGGCAGTGATTTTAAAGAATGAGTGTTTCTGTGCGACGAAGCCACTCCCGTTTCGCTGACTGCTTCTGTTTAGAAAAAGCATCAGGCTAATATCTCTCCAGATTCCTCCTGATCGCCTCACTGTTGAGAGCTTCAATGATATGACAAACCCTGGAGGTCTTCAGTTGAGGCTTAAAACTGCACACATGGGTCACTTTGCACATCTGGCGGCCAGTTTCTAGCAGTTCCATGGGCCATTCTGTCCACACCCAGTAGGCCTAATTATGCACCCGGAAAGCTTTATATCTGTTCTTTAGTCTCAACATGGAGTGCCCGATTCTGCACAGCAAAGCGGCAGCAGCACGAGGCCCTGCTTTATGTCCACATTGAAACAGAATGTACAAGAAGAGGAAATGTGCAAATTGCAGTTCCTTTTTGAGGAGGCTGCTCACTATGTGAGGGTTTCTTCCTATCTTATTCTGGGAAATTAGGTTTTCTCCTGGAAACTGTTTGTAGCACTGCTGCATATTATGCAGTCAAATGGAAGCTGCGTCGCTATCACAGTCACAATTATAGGGCCTCCTTAATCGCTGCAAGTCCTTCGCTGCGGAAACAAATCATCTAATTGTAGATGTTTGGTTGGACACTACAAATTAGACTTTAAAGAATATGAAGAAGGCCCTTTTACAGTGCGCGGGATTCCTTTTATAGGACAGCGAGATCTTCCCTGGAAGCGGACGCAGCTTTTTGGATCTGAAATATGCAGCCAGTCTCCTCAGCTTGCTTTTTGCACTATTGTTCTGAATCTTTTGGCTCAATTTATTTCATCAAAACGCTAGTCTTCAGTACTCCGGTAGCTTTATTCTCTCTGCTTAGGTGGGTCCACTTGGAGAGTGTTCATTTAAGTGCTCCTTATTGGGCCAGCAGCGTCAAATGTGCAGCATGGAGGGTCAGAAAGGCAGAACGTGCAAAGAAACTTTGAAAAAATCAGAAACAGAAATCACAGCTTTAGTGCAACTTTCCCACATGCGAGGGAGTGGAGCTGAACCTCTACGACGGCGCGCTGCAGCTGTGAAATAGTTCTTTCAAATGAGCGAAACGGGAAGATCTTGCGCCTAATTTGCTTTCAGTGCAGTATAGAATGTTAACAATGGCTATATACTGCAGTCAAAGGGCTGCAAGCACTAGAAAGCTGCGAGGAAGCCAGCATTCTGGCAGCACCTGCTCGTGCAGCAGTGCCTGAATCCTCGAGCCTTCAGCGCTGCGAGTGTGAGAAAGCTTTCGCACAACTTTAAAAACCTTCTTTATGCATTGCATGAAGAAGGCAGTGCAGCCTTTGGTGGATCCAGGGAATACCGCCCGCCAGCCAGCAAGGTATTGGCAGATCTTGGCATATTCCTGGCATATTCCTCTACAGTTCTGAGCCGGGTTTGGCCAACTGAGCTAAAACAGGCAACAACTACAACTGTGGGCAACACGGGGGGAACAGGCAAAGTACAGCCTGAGAGAACTAGTGGAAAACATGAATTGAATGCTCTGAAGAACCAGCTGTGTCGAGCACCCCAGCTGCATGAGATCACCTGCTTCCAAAGGATCCTTATGCTTTTATTTTGCTTTTTCTGCTACCATTGGGACACTGTTTGGACTCTCTGTTTCCAATTAAGTGTGAATGGCCTTCTTATCTTTTATTTCCGAAGAGTTCTAATGCACTGCCCGGTATTCCCAAAAGAATTCATGAATATCCAATCTTGGTCGATACGCAAATAACGCTTCACTCCTCAGTACATTTTTATTGCCAAACACCTCTTCATCTTTACTATTTTTAGCCATTTTTTAGCCATTTTGTTCAAATGTGGTCTTTTGTTTCTGTCTTCTTGGCTCGCGTGCCGCTGCACAATTTGAATTGCCGTTTTGCATGCATTCCCATCGGAAAGCTCCTCATTGGCTGCACTTTTGCAAAGAAAATTATCTTTTAATCGAAAATTAAGTTCTTTTGGTGGCTTAAATGGGGACTAATGGCAGCTTTCCAGGAGAAACAGCAAGATGGGAAGCAGCCACTGCGTTGCATGCAAAAGAGTCTTCACCGCATTATATTCTACAGAGTTTTGCCACTGGAGGCTCTTAGTGCATCCAAGTAATTATGAAAGCCTCGAGAGTTCAGCAAATAAATAAATAATGCATCATTAGAAGCAGAAAGCTGCTTCTAATGATGCATTATTTATTTATTTGCTGCACAAGAGCTTCTGCAAAGCTGCGGCTTGCAGCGGCTGCTGCGGCTTTCTTATAGATAAGAAGACCCCAGTGAGTCTGGCCTCTGTTTTGACTGTTTTAGGCGAAGACAAAAGCGAAGCTGGAATTAATTCATAATGAATATAAGTGAATATTGCAAACACTAAACTTGCAAAGCACAAGTTCAGAGCACTGCAGCAAGAAATTCAAAGAAAAAGATATAAACTTGAAAGAAAATAATACTACATTACACTCTCACTCGCAGAACTTGAACTGGCGCTGCTGCCGCATGCTGCTGTGTTGCTGCTGCTGCTCTTTTGGAGCCAAAAGAGCAGCAGCAGCAACGCAGCAGCATGCAGCAGCAGCCCTTTGCTTCTCCCGCTGCAGCAGCAGCCCTCTGCTGCTCCCGCTGCACTGCCCGCAGCACAAGGGCTAACTAAGAACTACAGGAGCTTCTCTGTGCATGCCATTAATAAGACATTAAAGGCACTGAGGGAACATAAGGGCTTTAAGATTCCCTCTTTGAAATTTGAATTATTAAATCCACAAACAAGAAGCAGCGCGGCCTTCTTACTAACATATTAATGACTCAACTAAGTTCAGCCCCGCTGAGCAGCAGCAGCAGCAGCAGCAGTAGCAGCAGCAAAGCCAAGAGGGGAACTGCGCGTGTTACCGTACTGGCAGGGGCTTGCATTGTACCGGGTCTGCTGCTGCACTCGTGCAGCGCGAATAAAAGGAAAATGGGGCTTAAACAAGAAAAGAAAAATAAAAAATAGGACTTTGCATGCACTGAATAGGTTTAAGGGGCTCATCAGGGAGAATTTTGCCTGTGCAAGTCCCACGTTGGCTCTTGTGGCTCCGGCGCTGCCAAAAACGGGCAGCAGCTTCCACTGAACAGTTAGAGGGCCTCTCGCTGCATTTTGACCATGCAATTAGGTCTAAAGGAAGACATTAAACATGATTGTTTTGTTTGTTCTGCATTTGTCTTGAGCGGATCGCTAAGGTGCTCAGCTTCCTGCTCTTGGCGTGTTCAGAAAGAAGCACGTGGCCGGGTAAACTGCTGTCTAGCGGTCTTTCGGAATTAAAAGTTTTGCTTTATACTTTCAAAACGCCGCCGCAATTAATTATTTTGGTTCTTCCTTTCTATTCAAACGGCTCAGTCCTTCCAAAGGGTCGCCGTCATGGCTTTCGGCGGCGGGCCCTGAGGTGCATGTACACCAGAAATCGAACAGCTTTTGCAACGCCCGACCTCGCACAACTTTAGTCGCATTTAAAGCACAAGCACATTATCTTTCTTGTCCACTTTTTTTGGTTGGCAGCTTCACACTGACTGGGCCGTGGTTTCTTTCCTTCCGGCCAGTTTCCCCGAACTTCTTCTCCCTCGAGTTTCCAGCTTTGCACATCGCACGGAACTCGCGCTCCAGGGCCTCGCAGCGGCCGCCCAGCCGGCTCTGCCCGTCCCAACGCGCAGCAAAACTCTCTGCTATGCAGCGCGGGTTTATTTCCCGCGTTTGCTGCAGCTTTCCGAGCAGCGCTGGCGGGGCGGCGGCGGCTCCCTGGGCTTTCCCGCAGCCTCCCTGGCAAACAAGAAGCAGCTGAGGGCCTCAGCTGCTGCTTCTTTGCTTCAAAGAGGCCATTTATTTCCCCAATCTCGAAGATCGGGCCTCAGCTTCGCGGCCTCCTGGCTGCTGCTGCCCGCGCTGCAGCGCTGCTTCTGTTGCCTCGGCCTCCCGCTCGCGGCTGCTGCTGCTTCGACTTGTGCGCAACTCCGCGAAGGATCTGAAGGCCACGCACAGCTGCTGGCCCTTCCGCTGCCTGCCCCAGCAGCAGCAGCAGCAGCAGCAGCAGCGGGATGGCTGCGTCCTCGGGCCGCGCCGTGTGCAGCGCGCTGCAGTGTACAGACACCGGAATGGCCGCAGACGCATGCGCTGCTGCTGCTGCTGCTGCAGCAGCGGCCCCCCGGCAGCTGGGGAGGGGCGAAGAACCCAAAGAGGTGATAGTCATTAAAGACAATTCTTCAGAAGAAGACTCCGATTCTCTTCAAGTCTCGGACTTGCGCTTTGGCCGCAGGGCCCAGCCCATAAGATACTCCAGGGCCACGCGGTGGGCCTCTTAGTGCACAAACTTGCAAAAAATAATTAAATTAAATCCACTTTTAAACACTTGAGGGCCTCCAGGGGCCCCACACCCGCAAGTGTCCACTGGTCACCCGCAGTGGTCCACTGGTCTCGGGCTTCCGCCCGCTGCGCCCCTTGTGCAGCTGCTGCAGCTGCTGCAGCTGCTGCAGCTGCTGCAGCAGCTGCAGCAGTGCAGCTGCAGCAGGGCATCAACAGCAGCTGCTGCAGCTGCTGCAGCAATGCAGCTGCTGCAGCTGCTGCAGCTGCTGCAGCTGCAGCTGCTGCAGCAGCAGCAGGTGCTGCAGCAGCTCTTTGTTGCGTTCGTTGCTGATTGTTTGACTTAATTGATTTTGTTCTTTTGCTGCTGCAGCTACCACATGCTGCTGGAGGTGGCTCTGGAGCGGAAGAGGCTGAGGCAAGAAAAGCGCGAGCGGGAGAGCGGCGGCAGCAGCAGCACGAGCAGCAGCAGCAGCAGCAACAGCAGCAGCAGGCGGTCGAAGAAGGGCGCGCCGGCCGCGGGCAGCAGCAGCAGCCGCAGCAGCAGCAGCAGCAGCAGCAGCAGCAGCAGCAGCAGCGCATGCATGCTGCTGTTCGCGAAGGACCCCTTCGAGTCCAGCAGCGACGAGAGCGACGCGGACTGGGACCCTGCTGCGGTGTATGGACAGGCCGCGCGGCGGCGGCTGAACAGCAAACAGTCGGAGACAGAGTCGGAGTCAGAAGATTTTTCGGACAGCCAAAGTGGCTCTTCGGAGGAGAAAAGCAGCAGCAAAAAGGCAGCAGCAGCAGCAAAGAGTGGGCCTCCGGAGGCCTCCGAAGTCAGCGCAGAAGACGCGCCGGCTGCGGCCTCCCGAGACGCAGCAGCAGCAGCCGCGCAGCAGCAGCAGCAGCAGCAGCAGCAGCAGCAGCGGCGGCGGCAGCAGCAGCAGCAGCGGCACGCGCGGAGCGAGACAAAGGGGAAATGGGACGGGCCGGGAAAGGGGGGGCGCGCCGGCAGCACAGATGGAGAAGAAGCTGCTGCTGCAGCAGCAGCAACCAAGCAGCACAAGCAGCAGCAGCAGCAGCAGCAGCAGCAGCAGCAGCAGCAGCAGCGGGAACGGGGGAGAGGGGGGAAGGGGAAGCGCAGCCGCAGCAGCGAAGAGGCTGAAGCGCAAGGGCACGACAAAAGACAAACCAAAGAAGCAACTTTGGAAATGTCTTCAAATAAAAATGCATGCAGAAGCGTGGGCGGGAGGGGAGAGGGGAAGCAGCAAGAAGGCAGCAGCAGCAGCAGCAGCAGCAGCAGCAGCAGAAGCACTAGCACTGGCGACGCTCAAGAAGCCAAAAAGAAGAATTAAAAAGCCGCAATTAATAAAAGTGCACTGAGCAAATGAAATTTGAAATGCAGATGAACTCTCGTGAGGTGTACGTACACCTCACGCGTGCACACCCGCATGTGCAAATGCTCAGCACGCATGTGAATTTATTCCCCACAAAGTCCCCTTTATAAATATAAATTCAAATAATAAAAAATAAATAAATAAATATATTTAATATAACTGTCTAGATGCAAAAATACATTTGGAGATGTGCACTTGCATTGCTAATGTGTTCAACTTGCATGCACTTCAAAACCCCACATTTGCGCATGCATGCATGCGCGTACACTTGAACGCTTTGCTGCACTTCGGAAAAATAAATGAAAGGATTTGCCTTTAGCTGCTGCAGCTGCAGCAGCAGCTGCAGCAGCAGCTGCAGCAGCAGCTGTGGAGCCGCAGAAGACTTTAGTTTTTGCGTTGAAGGATTCAATTTGTGTTTTGTGTTTGCTTCTAGCGACGCAGCAGCAGCTGCTGCTGCAGCAGCAGCGCATGCACTTGCGCTGGTGCTGCATGCGCTGCTGCTGCTGCAGCAGCAGCGCATGCACTTGCGCTGCTGCTGCATGCGCTGCTGCTGCTGCAGCAGCAGTGCATGCATGTGCACTCTTCGTGTGCTTATATGTCTTTGAATTTCCCAGCTTGCTGCAGCGGCCCCAGGGCTGCTGCTGCTCCCTCCAGCTTTAATATTATTATTTAAATGATAATATTATTTAAATAATAATGTTATTTAATAATAATGTTGAACTTATTTATTTTGAAAGATTTTTTGTGCCTTTCACAACGTCAAAAGCCAGACCAATTTTTTGCGTGGAGCTCTGGCGTTGCTTTCGGGTGTATGTACACCTCCTGCCAGTGCTCTTCACCTCCAATTCGTCTTCTGTTTATCTCTAATTCATCTCCAATTTATTTCTAATTCTTTTCTAATTCATTTTTAATTCATTTGTAATTCATTCTTTATTTATCTCTATCATCTTTAGCCAGAATAGTTTGCTGCTCGCCTCTCGCTGGCCTCTCCAGCAGATCTGCTAATGTAGATAAACTTGAAGTGTTCCTAATGTATAAATGCAAATGAATATAAATAAATAAATTAAAATATAAATATAAAAATAAATATTTATTTGTATTGCATATATACTCACCTAATGCAGATCTACAATTGCAGTTTCGTAACGCGGTGTACATACACCCCGACAAGCGAAAGCTTCTAATTGAAAACTGAGACGCACTTTTTAGGGTTTAGGGTTTAGGGTTTGCCACGCGGGTTTGTAGCTGCAGTTCCTAGCGGGGTTTAGGGTTTTGTTTCTCTTTTGAAAGCCGCGAATTTGGAATCACGGAAATGCGGAATTGCGCAAAAAAGAGAAATAAACACGCGCCGCAGCAGCAGCAGCTGCTGCTGCAGCAGCAACAGCAGCAGCCGCTGCTGCAGCAGCAGCAGCGCATGCTGCTGCAGCAGCAGCGCAGGAGCTGCTCCGGAACGTATCCGGAGCCTAGGTGTACAGACACACGGGAGTCTCTGCGTGCCCATGCACAGATTTTATATTTGTTTGCACATATATATATATATATATAAATATTTGTATATATATATTATATATATATGTATATATATAATATATGTATTGTATGCATAATATATACAATATATATATTATATGCATAATATATGCACTATATATATATAATATATACATATCATATATGTAATATACACATATTATACATACAATATGTACATATTATATATATATAAATATATATATATAATATACACATATTGCATATACAGTATATGCACATTACATATACAAAATATACATATTATACATACAATACATACATATTATACATATAATATATATATATATACATATATATAATATATATTATATATATTATATATACATGTGCATATATATTGCACATAAAGAGCCTAAACAAAGGCGCGAGTCTGCGCAAGGAAGCGAACTGGGCCTTCAGACTTTTTGGCTTTTTCGGCGGAGTCCCCAACAGGCCAAAGAAGACAAATGGGCTTTGTTGTGGGGCCCCCCCCCGCCCCCATACATGTTGGGAAAAGAAACCAAAAAGTGCATTCCAGGCTCCGAGTCCCCCAGCCCGGTGCAGCCGCCTGCAGACACGCCCTGCATGCGCTGCGGTGTACAGACACCCCAGCCCTGCATGCGCTGCGGTGTACGTACACCCCAGCCCTGCATGCGCGGCGCGCATGCGCCGGCGCCAGCTGCCGAGGCTTTCTCACAAGAGGACTTTTTGCAGCAAAAATGTTCTTTCAATAAAAGAATTGGGAAATAAAAAGAAAATAAAAAAGATAAAAACAATACCCACATGCAGCTTTGTATTTGTGTATGTGCACGGGGCAGCAAGGAGTGCAGTGAAGGCGCAACAAGAATATATATATAACATGCAGTATAAAAAACAAATAAATAATAATAAATGATTGACTATAATGTGTGTAATATGGAAAACAACAAAGAAATAGTTTTGATTGACAAGAAAGAGAAAGGAGAGCCTGAACTGCACGGCTGCGCGCTGTCTGTACACCCCAGGCGCGCCAAGCGGAGAGGGTTGAACCGATTGAGACGGAACAGAACAATTTAAAACAATTTAAGTTCAAATAAAACAATAAAACTATTTACTTTTGAAAATAAAAAGTACTTAAAGTCCATTTAGCCCACCTGAATACAGCCGGCGCTCCCACATGTGGTAGCCCAGCAGCTCCTCTTCTTCTTGCAGCTGAAACTTCGCCTCTTCGACATAAGGCGCCAAATAGGGAATAAAAGGATCATAGTTTTGTTCTGCAACAAAAACAATTTACAAAAACAATTTATTTTCATTTAATTAATCAAATGAGTCCACTCACCCCTTGCTTCCCCCGGCCGTTCGCGGGGTGTACGTACACCCCAACAACGGCGCGCGCTGCAGCACTTTTCCGAAACTTCCACTTCCGCAGGTTCCCCCGCGCTTCGCCACTAATTTAAAAGATTTTCTTTTTTATTTTTGAATTAATTTACCACTAAATTAAAAGATTTTCTTTTTTATTTTTGAATTAATTTACCATTTGGAGGCAAATAAAGTCGAATGTGATTCAAATGAGTGGCTCTCATGATCCTGCGGTACCGCGCGGTGGCCAAGTCTTCGGGCAGCAGCTCCAGCGCGCGCTCAATGACCGGCTCTTTGTCGGAATAAAGGTCATCGTACATCAATCCTGACAAAATAAATCAAAACAAAATAAAATAAAATAAAATAAAATAAAAATAAAAGAAAAAAGAACAAAAAAGACAAAAAACGGTGAAAAAATCCTCCAAAAACTCCCCAAATTGCTTTTTATTTGCCCCACTTCCTCGCGGACTCCGCGGCTCAGCCGCGGCTTTCTGCGGTGTACGTACACCTCAATGCCGCGGCCAAAAGCGACACGCAACAGAGCAGCAGCGAAAGTGTGCATGCAAAGCAGCAGCAGCAGCAGCAGCAGCAAAAGTGTGCATGCGAAGGCCACAGCAAAGAACCCCAACCCCCACGCCTCTCCATCACTAGCCCCCCTAAGTCCAGCCTATGCTCTCTGCATCCTGCCGCTGCTGCTGCTGCTGCTGCTGCTGCCGCTGCTGCTGCTGCTGCTGCTGCTGCTGCTGCTGCTGCTGACCTTGTTCCCGCAAGTACTTGCCAATGGCCGCCTGGTTCCACCTGTCCAAAGGGCCTCTGAAGAAGCGGAACCAAACGGGGGCGAGGAGTTCGCTGAGGAAGGAGCGAACAGCAGAGGGCTGGGGTGCAGCAGGAGTGAAGGCCACGAGGCTGGCCATTTTGCTGCTGCTGCTGCTGCTGCTGCTGCTGCTGCTGCTGCTGCAGGGGGCCCCCGCGGCGGTGGCCGCGTACTTGGCGAAGTACTTCGCCACTTCGCGGTGAAAGGCCGCCATTATGAGTAATTCAAAAGTTGAACTTTGCTGCCGGGCCGCCAGCCCCGAAACGCTGCGCGCGCAGCAGCAGATCTTCCGCAAAAAGAGCTGAAGTTGCTTTTAAAGAAGAAATTTAAAGAAAGAATACAAAAGGCTTTTCATTTATTTACTTAATTTTCAAAAAGAAGCGCAAAACTGCAGCAGCAGCAGCTGCTGCTGCTGCAGAAGACCGCACACCCAACGGTCTGCTGCAGCCGAGCCATTGCATGCGCTGCAGCGACGGCCACTACTGCGTTTCTTTTCGTTGTTTTTAATTTAATTTTCATTTTTTATTTTATTTTTTTATTTTTATTTCTTTATTTCGCCTTTTTAAATCCAAAGAGCGGCGCTGGGCCGCCGCCGCCAGCCGCGACAGCCCACAGACGCGCAGAACCCGGTGTATGTACACCTTGCCTTCGCTTCTCTGTTGCTTCCACTTATTTTGATTTTTAGATCAATTAAACAAATTAAATTGATTAAATTAACTAAATTAATCAAATTAATTTCATTAATTTGAAAAAAAAGCAACAAGACCTCGCCAACTCGGACTTCTCCACCGAAGTCTTCTCGCGAACTCAGCTGCTGCAGCTCGGCTCGCCAGCAGCGCAAAAGCACTTCAAATGAAACAGAAAACGAATCAGCTTTTCGGCAAAATGGTGTTTTTAATCAAACAACAAACAAGGAAGCAAAATAGGCATGCAAAGGGGCCAAAAAAGGGGCCAAGGGGGCCAAAAAAGGGCCAAATGGCCCCTCAAACGGCCTTTCTGCCACTCCTTTTAGCTTATCTCGAGCTGCCCCTGTTGCTGCTAGCTTGCTGCAGCAAAGGGGCTGCGGCTGTGGGGCCCCACAGCCGCGAAGCTGCATGCGCATGCACGCGGGGGCTTCTGCCTTTTGCTTCGTTGTTTGGTTATTTAAAACAAAAAGTTTTATTCAAAAAGTATTTTAAATAACTTTAAAGAAACAAAAGTGGCCCCAAGTCCACTCACCTTGCGCTGAGGTGTACGTACAGTGTACGCGCAAGAGCGCAAAGATGCAAAAAGCAGTCTATAAACACAGATATATATATATATAAACATATATATTATATATATAATATAAATAATATATATAATATATATAACATAGATATAATATATATATTATATATATAAATTATATATATATTTATATATTGCACCATATATATATAATACACTTATAAGCCTCCCCCGTGCATTCCCCGACTGAATAAATAACAGATGCAGAATTAAATGTGGAATATAAACATTGTAAACATAATAAACATGCATGCACAGAAGCACCCTTCGGCAGTGCCCGCTGCTGCTGCTGCAGACAAGCAGCAGCAGCAGCAGCAGCAGCAGCAGCAGCAGCAGCAGCAGCAGCAAGAACGCCGCTGTTGGCCTAGTGGCCGCAGTACCTGCTGAGGGTGTCAGTGAGGGCAGCAGCAGCGCGGGAGTCGAGTTGGGCCTTGGGATTTTTTTTAGAAGAACTTTCCCCCCGTTCTCCCCCGCAGCCCTCCGCTGCTGCTGCTGCTGCTGCTGCTGCTGCTGCTGCTGGTGCTGCTGCTGCTGCTGCTGCTGCTGCTGCTTGTCTGCGGAGGCGGCGGTCCGCTGCCTCGCGGACCTCGGGGTGTACGTACAGCCGGGCCTCGGGGCGCACCACGCGGCTGGGGTGTCTCCACAGGTCCCCCCATGCTGCAGCACGAGCCCTTTTGTATCCTGCTGCATGTTGCATCCGTTTGGAAACAGCAACTCTTTGGAAAGTGTGGGGTTTGCTGCAGCAGTCCAGCAGCACGTGGCTGCTGCCGCGGAGGGGGGGCCCCACCAGCCGCGGCCAGAAGAAAGACAGGGCCTCGGGGGGGGCCCCTGCTGCTGCAGCAGCAGCAGCAGACCCGAACTTGCTGCGGGGCCCCACACCCTTCCGCACCACCAAGTAGCTGAACTTCTCCGTCTCCACACTTTTGCTGCTGCGCCCTTTGCTGTAAACTGCATGCGGCAGCCGCTGCAGCTGCTGCCCGAAGTGGCACCAGTCCCGCCCCGTGCTGCTCAGCGGGCACGGCCCCTCGTGCGGGCACGGGCTCACAAAGTAAAAGCTGCTGCTGCTGCTGCTGCTGCTGCTGCTGCTGCTGCTGCTGCTGCTGCTGCTCCCGCTGCTGCTGCTGCTGCTGCCGCTGCTGCTGCTGCTGCTGCTGCTGCCGCTGCTGCTGCTGCTGCTGCTGCTGCTGCTGCTGCTGCCGAGCTCGCTGATGAAGAGCTCGCGGGCACTGCCCACCACCCGCGCCCCAGAGACTGTCCCCCGCTCCAGCAGCAGCAGCACTCCGCCGGGCCGCAGGCGGCCCCACAGCGAGCGCAGCAAACTTTCGCGGCTGGGCTGCCCCTCCACGGAGCGCAGCAGCACGTGCGGCAGCAGCACCAGGTCGAAGCGGTCGTCCTCCTGCTGCTGCTGCTGCTGCTGCTGCTGCTGCTGCTGCTGCTGCTGCTGCTGCGGGCGGCGGCGCAGCCCCTCGTCGTAGAGGGCCATTTGCCACACCACTGGGGGCGACAAGTCGGCAGTCAAGTAGCGGCCAATGTTGGCCAAGTGTTCGGAAGGCTCCACAGCCAGCATGAACTCAAAGGGCGTTGCTGCTGCTGCTGCTGCTGCTGCTGCTGCTGCTGCTGGGGGGGGGGGCTCCTCCGCTGCTGCTGCTGCTGCTGCTGCTGCGAGGGCGGGGTCGGGGCCCTTGCCGTGCTTGCGGGGAACTGCAGCAGGGTCTGCATGCAGCAGCTGTCCGTACACCGCATGCACCGCCAAAAGACCTGCAGCAAACCCTGCATGCAGCTGCAGCACTCTGTGGGGTTTGAAGTCCGGGCAGCGGCTCTTGAGCTCCAGCAAAATGCGCAGCAGCGGGGCATAAACTGCAGCAAAGCGGTGGGCCGTCCAGGCAGCAGCAGAGAGCGGAGAGTGACCAGTGGTCACCTGGCGGTAGAGCCGGTGCCGCGCGTCTTCAGCAGCAGCAAGGGCTTCCTGGGCCTCGCGGCCCTCGCAGGGCAGCTGCTGCAGCAGCGCAGCAGCAGCAGCAGGCAGCGCCCGCAGCACTTTCGTGTCGCGGCCCTGCAGCAGCAGCTGCCTCGCGGACTGCGGCGCTCGCCAGCTTGCTGCAGCGCCGCCGTCTGCTGCTGCTGCGCGCGCCGCAGCAGCAGCCAGCTCCGCCGCAGCCGCGCCCTCCGGCTGCTGCTGCAGCTGCTGCAGCAGCTGCTGCTGCTGCTGCTGCCGCTGCTGCCGCGCTGCTGCCTCCGCCGCCACCCGCTGCACCTCCGGCAGCAGCAGCGAAGGCTGCACCCGCGGAAGCTCCACCGAAGTTCTTGCTGCTGTCTTCTGCGCCAGCAGCCGGCCTGTCTTCTCCAAGTCCTTCTTGCGCCCCACGTGCTGCAGCAGCAGCAGCAGCTTCTGCAGCACAGCAGCAGGAAGCTGCACTGTCTTCAGCGTGCACAGAGTCAGCGAATCCAGAGCAGCAAGCCGCTGGATGTCTGACCGCGGAGAGTCCCCAATCCGGTCAAACAAGTACCCGCGGTGCACGTTGTCTTCGTGCTTCCTGCTGCTGCTGCTGCTGCTGCTTCTGCTGCTGCGGCTTCTGCCGCTGCTGCTGCTGCACGGGAGCGGACAGGACTTGCAGCCAGAGGTCTTGGCGCAGGCCCTGCCGGGAGGGCGCGGTGTGTCGGCGGTGCCGCTCGCTGTGTTGCTGCTGCCCTCGCTGCTGCTGTTGCTGCTGCTGCTGCTGCTGCTGCTGCTGGAAGCAAATGCGCGGGAGCGGAAGTGGTGCAGGGGACTGAGGGAAACACAGGAAGATTGGTAGGAAGGCTGGCAGGCAAGGCGAAGGCGGCCCTGCCTACTCGCAGCCGCTGCTGCTGCAGCTGCTGCTGCTGTTTCAGCTGCTGCAGCAGCAGCAGCAGCTGCTGCTGCTGCATCAGCCCACGAAGCACAAAGCTGCGAGGTTGAGGGGCTTCTGCGTCGATAAGCTGCAGTCAGGAAAGACCGCCGTGGGTAGACTGGGGGTCTCACGAAGATGCCGCGAACAGCAGCCATCGAGGGCCCGCAGCCCAAATTGACTTCCATGAGTCAATAAATTCAAACTATTCATAAATTCAGAAAAGGCAAACAACAAAAAGAGTACTTGAATTGAATTCCGAGACTTTCGTCCACCAAGGTGGCGCCTCGTCGCGGATTGGTTGAGGTGTCTGTACACCTCAGGCCGATTTTCGCATCACTTTTATTTTTTTGGTTTTCCGTCGATTTCAGCCGCCGCTGCGGAAAGCGGCCCAAAACTGCTGCGATCTCACCTCTGTTTCCGCCTAAGCCTCCATAAATGTGAAATAAATTGAATTATTTCAAATATATTTAAATCAATTTTCCCGCGCTTTCCGCATGAGGCGAACATGAACGGGGGGCCCCCAGCACTGGCTGAGGGGCTGTGCCGGGGCCTCCTCGGGCGCGATCTCGCTTTTTTTTGCGCAGTTAATGCAGCAAATAGTTTAGTTTGAATATATAAATGGTATTTAGCCACTAATACATTTGAATAAGTCGAAGATCGTCGATGAGCGTGGGCAGAAACGCGCTGCCGACTGCAAGGCCTGGCTGGCGCACCGGGGGGCCTTCTCCGGAGTTTTCCGCCGCTCCAAGTCGTCCCATTTAATTCCTTTTTCCTTTTTAGAAGACAAAAGAATTAATTTGCTTTTTAGAATTCCGTTTAAAGGCAGTGGAGGCCTTTTTGGGGGCGAAGGCGCTGCGTGGCGGCTGCAGCCTGAACGAGTTTCTCCGAGCAGCTGCAGCAGATCCGGCGAAGCCGCAGAGGCAGCGTCGATGTTAATCTGTTTTGCACTTCCCGCGCGCTGGCGAGCAGCTTGAAGAGCCGTTGCTGCTGCTGCTGGCGCCGCTGCCTCCCTGCTGCTGCTGCTGCTGCTGCTGCTGCTGCTGCTGGGGGCGCAGAATGGCCGCGGGGGGGCCCCCGGGTGCTTCTTTGTTCAGCACCGGCGAAGCGCTGGTGGCGGGGATCACCGGCCTGACGGACAGCCTCAACCGCATGCAGCAGCTTTGCTTCTCGCGCTGCTGCTGCCGCGTGGGGCCCCAGGGAGAAGTGCTGCTGCGGGGGCCCCTCGAGCCCCACTTGGAGGTCTGGGAGAAGGCCTGTGTGGACCGCTGCATAAGCAAGCACATGCAGACTCACCAGCTGGTGGGTGCGGAGTTGGCAGCTGCGCATTCTGCAGCAGCAGCAGCAGCAGCAGCAGCAGCAGCGCCAGCAGCAGCAGCAGGGGCCGCTGCGGCCCACCAGCCCTTCTCCTTCGCCTTAATGTGAGCCCCGCGCCCCAGCCCTGCTGCGCAGTGTCTGTACACCTCACAATGCTGCTGCCCCGTCTGCTGGGCCGCGCCTCCTGCGGTGTACGTACACCTCAGCAGTGCGCAGGCCTGCAGCAGCAGCAGCAGGGGCGGCCGCTGCAGCAGCAGCTGCAGCAGCAGAACCAGCGGCTGCAGCAGCGCCAGCGGCCGCAGCAGCAGCAGCCGCTGCAGCAGCGCCAGCTGCTGCTGCAGCCGCAGCAGCCGCTGCAGCAGCGCCAGCGGCTGCTGCAGCCGCAGCAGCCGCTGCAGCAGCTGCTGCTGCAGCCGCAGCAGCCGCTGCAGCAGCCGCTGCTGCTGCCTCCGGGCCCGCGGTGTACGTACACCGCGGGCCCCACAAGAGAGGCGCGGAGGCAGCGGCGGCCGCCGCTGGCGGCGGAGATTTGCTGCTCGCAGCTGCCGCGGCTGCAGCGGGTGCAGCAAATGGGCCCCGAAGAGCTGCTGCAGTGCATGCAGCACTGCAGCAGCAAACAGCTGCTGCTGCGGCGGCTGTGGGAAGGGTTTATGTACCGGTGGTGCGTGCTGCGGGGCGCGGTGTCTGTACACCAGCTGGTGCAGGTGGTGCGGCTGTTTGCTGCAGCACGAAAAAGAGAATTCAGTTTTATTAATTTCATTCTCGAAGCAATTCGCATGCAGCAGCAGCAGCTGAGTCTCAGCGACGCAGTGCTGCTGCTTGCTGCGCTGCAGCGGCTGCAGCTCCGCGACCCGCTGCTGCTGCAGTCCCTGCTGCCGCTTTGCTGCTGCCGCATAGCAGCAACAACAACCCCACCGCTTTTGGCGCTGCTGGCGCACACTGCAGCAAAGGACGCCTCCGCGCCGCTGCTGCTGCAGCAGCAGCTGCTGCAGCAGATCTACGTCTCCCTGGCCCCCCGGCTGCAGCAGCAGCAGCAGCAGCAAACCCTCGCGCTGCTCCTTGCTGCCTACGCCCGCTTTGCATGCGCCAGGGCCGGCGGAGGGCCTTTTCTCCGCTTTGCTGCTGCGCCGCTGAGGTGTACAGACACCGCAGCAGCGGGAGTCGATCCCGAAACTGAAAACCCCACACTTCCTTTTTTCTCCTTTTTGGAAATGCTGCTGCAGCGAATCAGCAGACACAAATGCATGCAGCAAATGAAGACAAAGGACTGCGTCCACCTCTCTGCTGCAGCCGTCCACCTCCACGCAGCAACAGCAGCAGCAGCAGCAGCAGCAGCAGCAGCAGCAGCAGCAGCGCCAACGCAGCAGCAGCAGCTGCCCCTCGAGCCATTCGTGTCTTCTTTGCTGCGGAGAGTGATGGACTTGCGTTTTGAATTTGCGCCCAAAGATCTCTCGCTGCTGCTGCCCGCGCTGCTGCACCTGCCCGGGGCCCCCCCGCTGCAGCAGCAGCAGCAGCAGCAGCAGCAGCAGCAGCAGCAGCAGCAGCAGCAGCAGCAGGACCCGCTGGTGGCGAGGGTGGTGGGGGCCGTGCTGGATGAGATCAGGGCGAGGGCGGGAGAGTTCACTGTAGAGACAGCAGCAGCAACTCTGCAGCACGTAGCAGCAATGAAGAATGTGGGTTTATAACTGCAGCAGCAAATTAATTCTCAGTTTAATTTAATTAATTAAATTAATTAATTAATTTAATTAATTAATTAATTAATTAAATTAATTAATTAATTTAAAATAAATCACAATTAAGGAAATAAATCGAAGTTGAATCTGTGCAGCAGCAAACAAACGCAAATAAACGCTTCAAGAAGATTGCACACCCGCTACTGCTGCTGCTGCTGCTGCTGCTGCTGCTGCTGCTGCTGCTGCTGCTGCTGCTTGTGCTGCAGCCCGCCCCACTGACAGAAGCAGCTTTGCTGGTCCGTCTGTCTGTCTCGATTCCGACAGCTGCTAATGAGCGAGCTGGAGTGTCTAGACACCTCCCGCTGCTGCAGCAAATAGTGCAGCGCGTGGCGCTGCCCTCATCTCTCTCTCTGCAGCTGTTCCTGCCGGCGCTGCTGCCGCTGCAGCGCAGCAGCAGCAGCAGCAGCAGCAGCAGCAGCTGGGGGGAAGAAGATGCAGTGGAAGCTGACTCGCAGTGGAAGCCCCCCCGCGTTGGCGCAGAGGCGGCAGAGCTGGCAGACACACTTCAGCAGCAGCAGCAGCAGCTGCTGCAGCAGCAGCAGCAGCAGCAGCAGCAAGAGCAGGAGGAAGAGGACGAGCTTGCTTTAGACGACAATGATGAGGAAGCCGCAGCAGAAGATGCCTCAGCAGAGACAGAAGGATCAGCAGCAGCAGCAGCAGCAGCAGCAGCAAGAGCAGCAGCAATAGCTGCTGCTAATGCGAACAGAGCTGCCTTTCGCCTTCCTGCTGCTGTTGCAGTTGGAAAAGCTTTTTCAACAGTTCTGCGCGTGAAGGGGCTATCCACACAGGTAAGGCTTAGGGTTTAGGGTTTAGGGTTTAGGGTTTAGGGTTTAGGGTTTGGGGTTTAGGGTTTAGAAGAGGGAGTCGCCTTCGCGCCAAGGCAGGAGCCACTGCAGCAAAGAAAAGACATAAAAACTAAAAAGACAAAAAGTGTTAACAGCAGCAGCAGCTGCTGCAAAGATATTGAGCCTAGACGACAGCAGCAAAATGAAAGAGGACAAGGGCTGGCAGCAGCAGCAGCAGCAGCAGCAGCAGCAGCAGCACCTTGATAGTCAACTGTAGACTCGGGGCCTCAGCTAGCTGCATGGCTAGCTGGCAAGGAAGCGGGCCTTGTGCGCTTGCTGCTGCTGCTGCCGCTACTATTGCTACTTCTGCTGCTGCTGCTACTGCTGCTGCTACTGTTGCTGCTACTGTTGCTGCTTCTGCAACTGCTGCTGCTGCTGCTGCGCGTCTGCGGGCGGCGAGAGAGTTCTGCTGCTGCTGCTGCTGATACTGCTGCTGCTGCTGCTGCTGCGCGTCTGCAGGCGGCGAGAGAGTTCTGCTGCTGCTGCTGACACTGCTGCTGCTGCTGCTGCTGCGCGTGTGCGGGCGGCGCGAGAGTTCTGCTGCTGCTGATGCTGATACTGCTGCTGCTGCTGCTGCTGCTGCGCGTGTGCAGGCGGCGCGAGAGTTCTGCTGCTGCTGCTGCTGATACTGCTGCTGCTGCTGCTGCTGCTGCTGCTGCGCGTGTGCAGGCGGCGCGAGAGTTCTGCTGCTGCCTGGCGAATCTGCAGCTGCGGTGTACGCGGTGGCACTTCTCGCTGCTTCGGCTGTCTGGACAGCTGGCGCGCAGCTGCAGCGCAGCAGCAGCAACAGATTTATCTCTCATAACTTTTTATTTGGCATTTTTGCAAATGCGAAACACTGCAGACCAACTAGCCCTTTTTCCCCTCCTGGCCTCCAGGCAACACTGGCACTCGGTACGCTGCTGCTGCTGCTGCTGCTGCTGCTGCTGCTGCTGCTGCTGCTGCTGCTGCTGCTGCTGCTGCTGCTGCTGCTGCTGC